GGTGTGTATGTATATATATATATATATATATAAACACACACACACACACACACACACACACACACACACACACACACACATAGTTTCTCTTTTTTCTTTTATTCTCTTCCTGCTTTAAATGCATATATTTTCCTTTTTCCTTTCGTTTAGATCCTCTGTTCCGGAAAGTAATTCCTTGTGTGTTTTATTGGTCTACTTGGTCAATAAACATAATTCTGACTCTAATTCTGAAACATGATCTGTAGAAGCTTCATCTTGGTAGGCTGGCAAAGTTTCATTTTGAAACAGCTTTTGGCCTGTGTTGGAACCCAGATCTCTCTATTGATATGAAAGAAATTCTAAAGACTGGTCAGCATCCCCAGTGGATAACAAAAGCTTATGATATATACAGATTGTCCAATATGCAGTTTTTAATGAAATACTAGCATCAGTCATCTGATGGTTTATGTTCTCTTCCTCTGCAGGAGCGGGCATTTCTGATTCCTCTGGCAGATGTTCAGTCCATGAGCACCATCCCTCCCAAGAAACAAGGGAAAGTGCCAGCAGTGGGCATCAATTATGGCAATCCAGCTCATCCTAACAAAGTTACCATCCATCTCACAGAGGTAATGACTTAGGGGCATGACTAAATGTTCACCTTGTTTAAATGTAGGATGTTGTATAATTAAACATCAGATTATACTCATAGACAGTAGGAATTTATGATGCTCAAATGATATTATGAGTCTAGGGAATTATAAAAACTGTCATAACTCACATATATACTACTTTTTATTAGAGTAGGTATATCAATAGGGGAATCGTACTTCTTAGTGGCCAAACAAGAGAGGTCTATTTGAATTATGATCATTATTAATCTTTCAGAAGGTGCCAATCTTGTCAGCTTAAGTGACTAATACTACAGTGACACACAAATACTATAAACCAAAAACAAACCAAATACAATAACCAAAAAGGGGAAAAAATATGAAGCTCTTGTGAGTGAGTCAGTGAATAGCCAACAGAGAGATAAATTTATTTTGGAGGTGATACAAAGACCTAAAGACATGTGGAGTGTCAGTTACTCTGAGAAGCAGCAAAATCAGTTATGAAAGCACCAGTGTGTAAGCAAGTTGGAAGTTTTTGTGGAATACATGCATACACCCAGGGGTGTCTTATTATGTTACAGATTTGGGTTAAAATAAACAGTTTTCATAGGTTTGTGTTGTGCAGATGAATTGTTTGGAATGCTGCAGTATAAAAGTGAAAGATAATGAATGACTAGCCAGAGCTGAATAGATAGGGCCTTCATGGCTTTTAGATTCCTGTAGGATATTTTATAGAGTTTTGATCTTACCATGCAGAAGATGCATTCTAATCAGACATGACAATGCAGAGTCCGGGGGGACAGTAAGTTCTGCTTCTGAAATGTGTCTCTCTTTGGACTGATGTTATTATGTTGATAACTTCTTATGCTTTATTTTTTAACTGTAGCACTTTGAGTTCTAAACAAGCAGAATGATACTAAACACGATACTAAACATGACTATAATGACAACACTATCACTTGTTGAGATACCTCCAGACTTAAGGATGTGTGATTAGGTAATTGTTTGCTAACACACTCACTAAAACAAGACAATGTTGATATGTTGATATGTTGATGACAAGTTTTTTGTTACTCTGCCCCAGGGTGGCAAAAACAACAACAAAACAAACAAAAAAAATATGTGAATTCAGCATTGTTTCATTGGCCTGACACTTAACATAACATTACCTAGTTTCCTGGTCTCAGAAAATGTTGTTAGAGATGATTGCATGCAAGTTCATTTGGGGTCTCCGAAACTGTAGTTGCAATGGATTTCTTTCATGTTTTCTTTAATTGTGTGAGTGGCATTGAATAAATTTGTCATGACATGACAAAACCCTGAAATATTCTTGTATACAGATGAGAGTAAAAACTGGAATGGCTATGACTATTTGTGTTTAAGTGGTAAAAAATTCAATTTATTAACTCAATAATGTACAATAGGAAATATTTATTTGGCTGCAACTACTCTGTTTATTATTTTCTTAATTCATTGTTTGTTGCATTAATATCTGAAAATAGTGGAAAAGGTTCATTACATTTTCCCAAGGTCCAAGGTGGAATTTTCAAATCACTCTTTTTGTCCCACAGCAGTTGAAATCCCAAAGATGTTCAGTTTACTTTTATATAACACAAAGACAAACTGCAAAGTTGAGAAACCTGAACAAGGAAAGGTTTGGAATTTTTGAAGTAAACAAATAATGATTTATTGAACAAGTGGCTGGTTGTCTGTCCTTTGATTAATTGATTATTATAATTTGGTGTTATCGTGGCCATTTTTATCACCTTCCTCAAATGTGCAAAGTGTGTAGCAAAGGTCAGGGTTACATTTTACTGGCTTTTAATGAGGTTACAAAAAACATATGAGAGCATAAATGACAGATTAAAAAAATGTACTGAGGTTAAGTAATTACCAGTTAGCTAAGCAGCATTCTGGTCAGCTGTCAGCTAGGATAATTTTTCTTGTCTCTCTTTCAGGCCAAGGAGTTGTGCCACATCCTTGCACTAATAATGGAAGAGTTGATCCGGCCGCCCATTAACAGCTCCATTTCAAATCGACATTAGACATGCACATATTAAGAGTATTTGCTAATCACTTTTCTGTAACACATTTATGTGTTTACTTTTTGGTTAATTTCTCTTCTTTTTCTGCATAACTGTTTAAAAACTGTCACTGATAAAACAGACTGAAAAATATTATGTTCAGTGTTATGTTATTCGACAAAAAAATGTAATACTGTAATGTAATAATAGAACATGAGCAAATTCATGAGCAGTTTGGGGCAATTCATCAGTCATTGTGTGAATAATTCAAGACACAAATTATATGAATACATCAATTTGTTTTTTGGGCTTTAAAATTCTAGGGCACCATTGTTGAAATGTAAAGTATATTAATCATTATGATGTACAGGTGATAAAAGTTAAATATTTATAAACATTAAATAAATATGTTAATTCAATTTAATCTTTAATGTTCACACCCTGTCTGCTGACAGTCATCAACTCTTCTCTCTAGTTATCCTTGACCAGATGTACCCTGTAGAAACTCATAAGCAGGCCTAAGCATTTAAAAGTCTAACTAGACATCCTATCTCCACTAAACATTTCTAATACATAAAGTATCTATCCAATTTCTATCTGACTAAAAATATCTAACACAAGTTCTGCTTTATCTTGGGATGTCCTGCAGAGGCTGGGGGCCCACAGCCTGAGATGACCACCTGACCAGTTTAACATACAAATACACACACAGGGGGCCTGCAACTCAGGCCCCCCATGGTTCGGGGGTCCATTGATCAAGACCAAGCTGCCACCTGAGACACACACACACACACACACACATACACGTCTTTATGCCTTTGTGTGGCCCACATTCTGTGACTTCTTTGTGAGGGCCACCATTTCTACTATAGCTACAATGGTGCAAAACACAAATCAATCATGAGGTGGCAATAGAGAATCACTTCAGAATTCAGAAAACTTGAAATAAAAAAAATCTTTTTCTTCTACACATGTGAGGACCAGAACCTGTTGCCAAGCAGATTTGGTGAACTGGACCTTCTGTCACAAAGCACCAAAACAATGCATTTTATATCACCAGATTTTAGCAGGTGTTTCATAACTGTCCCATCTTACTTTCCTGGTTAATCCAAACCACAGCATTACAGAGATGGAAGCATGTGGTTTTTAATTTTTCCGATGTAAAGTGTATTTAAATTTGATTATATTTACATCTATTAAAAATGTATTATAAAAATGGTATGCATCTCTGCATTTAAAACTGGGGTGGTTTTGCAGACATCTAGACTTTAGGTTTTTCAATCTTACATGTCACTTGTCTTCATCAGATAATGCAATATTTCATTCCACAGTGCTCCTCTCATGACCCAAAAAATGTTCATACGTCTGAAACTTGAGATTATTCAGATGCCATCTTATGTATTATAAAAATGGTATGCATCTCTGCATTTAAAACTGGGGTGGTTTTGCAGACATCTAGACTTTAGGTTTTTCAATCTTACATGTCACTTGTCTTCATCAGATAATGCAATATTTCATTCCACAGTGCTCCTCTCATGACCCAAAAAATGTTCATACGTCTGAAACTTGAGATTATTCAGATGCCATCTTATGTTTGGAGGACCCTTAAAGAGGAGAAGTAACCAGGATGGACATTTTTAGTTACTTTGTCATTTATAGACGGGAAAGAAAGCTGATATTCAAGGTAACAGCTCTGACGGCTTCATACCATAGGAGTCTTGAGCAGGTTCCAAAGACTTCTCATTGAAGACTTCTGTGTCACTTTCACTGACTTGAGACATCTGTACAGCTCTAACTTCAGAAAACAAACCACCTGTTTTGATAAAAACAACATTTTGTGAACTTATCTTATTTGACATACTAAAGTGGCGAGTAGAACAAAAAAAACAAAGCATTTTTAAGTATAAATTGCATTCTATTATGAAATCTATTTTCTACTCACTTTGTATGCCCAAATCAATCTCATCAAGAGATTTGCCTTTGTAGACCTCAGTTCCATGTTCGATTGCCATGAGCAGCTTGCTCATCTTTGCAAGCTGAAGTGTGTTCTCGGTTAGGCGATAGTATTCACGATGAACACAAATATCATG